CCAGACTACGGACTATACGACGGCAAGTAATGTAGATTACTTGCCGGATTTTTGTGAGACTGACCGTGACCAGAGTTTAGAGATGGATGATGTCGAAGTTGACGAGGCGCTGAGTGCTGTAAATTTAGACAGAGATGCTGGCATCCTGCAAGAAGATGCATTACAATACATCGCTGGATATATAATCCGAAAGCAGCATCTACACGAATATGAGGACCACAGCAATGCATCATTTACTTGGGTGGATCAAATCTCCAAGGGATTTTTGAAGAAACCATCACCCAGTTTCCTCCGTAGCGTGCAGTGTTTGGAAACGGTATTCCATAAGTTGAACTTATCGGAAATCCTACACTGCAAAAGTATCAAACAGCGCTTGCTGGATCACAGCACACACGTGGACCTTCCTGAAGATGTAAAACGTTTTTTTTTCAAGTGCCGCATCTTTTTTCGCATTCGCCATTTAAATAAACGCCTCAAGGAGCAGAAAGCAAAGGAGAGGGTGTGGCGATACAAGAAACTGAGTAAAATAACACTCTGAACTGGTAAATTAAAGAGATTTAGTTATGTTAAATAAATATACATTTTATTTTTATTTCAGCAGTCCAATACAAAACTTTTGCTGCCAATAATTTTTGCTTTTGGTGAGTGCATTCTCAGAAAAAATTATTAATGTTTAATAACTCTAAATTCGGATGAATAAATGTCTAAATTGCTTTGAAACCATTTACAATTTGATAAATCATATAAATTTATTTAATTTCAGGTAAACACTTAATATTTTGAAGGTTCTTTTTAGAGCCGCAAAATGTTACAAAGAGATCGATTTTTTAAAGATGCTTGTACACACTAAAGGCCCTTTTTAGGGCCACAAAAATATTCACAAAGAGATCGAAAATGTTTTAAATGGAATATATTTGTAATATTTGCTTTTTCCCAGCTCTGGGTGCGTTCAGAAATGGATCAAGCCAAAGATCAGTCTCGGTTATTTCTTAACTCTAATTGATGGAAATGTCAAATATGGGCAACCACGGAAAAAAGCCGAGTTTGAACTTGAGCATGAGAATTCTTAGAAAATCTACAGCTAAATTGATATCTATATCATTTATGCATGTCTTAAAATAACAAGGATTGTCACGCCTGCTGAATTATCTTGGCAGCTCACCTTAAAATTACCAACTGCAAATTCAATACTACAACTGCGCGAACTCCGAATCCCATATAGGATATGGAAACACTCGGGTAGCAACTTCCATCAACGATATGCCCAGCGACTACACATAACTCCACACATCATAAGCCTTAGCGCGCTCTGGATCTATGCGTTCCGGCTGGAAAATATATTAGCCATTAATGAATTTGAAAATAGTTTTGAGCAACAAAGCTACAAAAACAATTTATAAGGGCACGGTTTAGTTATTTGTAGAACGATTTTAGGCTGCTGTACCCAAACGCAAGACCCGAATCAAAAAACCTTTACTTTATTAATAATTTCGGTTTGAAATATAGTATTTTGTGCATATTTCCGAGGTGAGCTGTCAATATAAAAAATCCTCTTTCGTTTAGGGGGAAGGTTTGGGGGCCATGCCACCACCCCCTCCTCCCCCACCCCAAATCGTTGTACAAATAACTAAACATTTTCCATTTATAACTCACCATCATGTACGGCCGACATCCTGCATCTTTAGTCTCCGCAATTGACTCCGCCTCCGTAATTTTTGCAAGTATCCACTCGGGTATGCGCTGCTGTTTACACTCGTAAATGTATTTACAAAATTTGTCCATCGAGGTATCCATTAATTCTATGCAAATCCAGCAGTCGCCTTCTATGAATAGCGCTCCACAGAATTGCACTATATAGGGTCAGGCGTTTAAATTCATCACCACTTCCAAATCCATAAGTAATTGCTTCTGTTCCTTTTCATCGAATGTGGAGCGTATGCGTTTCACTGCCATTGCCTTGCCTACTTTGAATATCATCTTGTTCACAGTGCCAAAACCACCCCGACCAATTTCACCTATATCAGTTAAATAATCTGATGTAAACTCTTTACTGGCCAAATAAATGTGCCTTAAATGATTCCAACCGGCAAACAAAATGTTTACATATTTTCTTTGATTGTTGGTGCTGGTACTGCTACTGGTGCTGGCGGCGGGCAGAAACGTTACACTAAATTGTGTGAAGAGGAACTGGAGCAAACGATAAAAAAAAATTGGACGAAGCTGAACCAGACTGAGTTGATGAAATTGAAGGTGGTTGGCGTCGTCTGTGGTGCAGGTACAAGTACAGGTGTGATCCTTTTCGATTTTTCCACATACAGCAGTTGGCAAAAGCAATGGATGAAGTAAGATCCGCAGATGCACCGGTCAAAAGATGTTGGTGGGCACATTTGTTGTTCCTGCTCCACAACGCTCGTAACTACAAAATAATGAAAGAATTATTAGTTAATAATGTTGCTGGTCATATTGTGCATCTAGCTGACAATGTAGACCGTTGAAATTTCCTTTGGAAACCTTATAAATTTAATATACAAATTTTTGTACTCACGTTTCTGGTTCTGCCGATCATTTTGCTTGTTACTTCAATTGTCAAACTCAGCAAATTTGACGTTTCTTGACTTGCCGGCCATTTTGCTTTTTTCTTCAATTGTCAAACTCGGCAAATTTGACATTTGTTGTTTGACACTTTATGGACCTCAAGCAACAACAAAATGCATGTGTTTGTTGTATTCGCTCTAATGCTGCTACCTGTTTATTGTACCATGCTACGTACTTTCAACTTAATTTACTGAGAGACTTTACAATTCGAAATTACTTGGTTTGTACTTAATTTATGCGTAAATTAAGATTGACCTCTAAATTACGCCAATGGGAACATAGTTTTAAACATCTGGCAACATATTCTGGCAACACGTTACTCTCACGCATGATGCAATAATACAAGGTGTTATCGGTTGGCAACTTCTCGCTCTAATTCCGCCATATTGACTGCCTTAGGTGAAACAGTGTTACTTCTTTAACAATTCTTTGCCTAATAGTATATTTGATTTTTTTTATTTTTTCTCAGTATACACATTTTGTTTTCTCAAAAAAGTATTTTATCTTATTTTATTTAATTTCTTTACGAATATACTATAAAAAAAACAGATTTTTTATAGAAGAAACTATGAAATTTTATATTTTTCCCCCAAATGGGGATTAGTTTCTTCCCGTTTTTCTTTTTATTCTACTGTCAAATCGAGCTGTCACAACTGATACCACCTTGTATTATTGCATCATGACTCACACGTGCGGCCATCTTCGTTTCGGGCATTGTCCATACATACTATTTCGGTTCTCTAATGGAAAATAAACAAATTTATAAACGTGTTCCTCATCGGTAAACAACAAAATTAATAAAATATAAAATAGATATACGTTCAAATAGCATAATTTAGTTGAAATGTGTGTGTTCTGCACACTTGTATTTGTTGAAATGGTTTGTTATCGCAGCGAACGTAAATCTATAAGAAGAGACAACACGTTATAATTGTAACGAGTGGGAACATCAGGAGGGGGCTTTCTCTTTTACCCAAATACGTTTTGTGGTTGGATGAAAAGAGAAGGCACGCTCCTGATGTTCACACTCGCTATAATTATAACGTGTTGTCTCCTTTTATAGATTTACGTTCTTTGGTTATCGTACATTTTGTTAGGTAAAATTTTCAACTTTAACAACAAATTGCTCGAAAAACTATGAGTTTCCTCGCCGTCAGGTTTTCAGTTTTGTGATGTGTACGAACCCCTATGCACCCCCCATAAAGTCATTTTGTTCTAAGCGTGGTGCACTCTCGCGAATTTTCCCCATTGGGCCTAAATGGCGGCTGCTTACATGCCAACTTAGGCTATCTGCACACTTGTCGTCCAATCATAGTTGCGTTATCGTCTCGCCCTGAAATTTTGAGCCGAACACATGCATTTCAAGGGAGATTGGCACACTTTTCGTTATCGGCTAGTTATCGGCAAATTGTAGAAGATGCAGAAACGGATAAGTGCGCCACTTTCGTTTGCTAATCGTTGAAAAATTAGTGAAAAAGTTAATATTTGCATTAAAATTGCAAAAAAATTAGCATTTTTTGCATAAAAGCTGTGGAAATTATTAAAAAGCGGATAATTGCATTAAAATTCAATAAATTTGAGCGTTTTAACTAAAAAATATGACGAAATTGTAAAAAGCCTCTGTTTGCATGCTCAAACCACATTTCAGGAAAAGAAGAGATATTACTGAAAAATGATGTCTAGAATTTTTGCAGCACAGTCTATATTTTAAAGATTGCAGGTTTTTGTAAATATTTCACGAAAATATCAACCAGAAAAACAAAAAATACCTGCTCCAAGTGAATTTTTAGACGCCAAATGAATTGAAATATCACGACTGAGTGTACGAAAGTGTACACCTTAGCCTTAGGCTATCTGCACACTTCGTCGCTTGGGTAAAATATTGTCGTAAGCGTCATACGTGCGTGCGTAACTTACGACAATCTTTTACCCAGGCGACGACTTGTCGTCCAATCATAGTTGCGTTATCGTCTCGCCCTGAAATTTTGAGCCGAGCACATGCATTTCAAAGGAGATCTGCACACTTGTCGTCAGTGTTGCCAAACATGGGCTTTTCCTCCCAAAACTGGTAGGTTTTTTTCCATTTGGTAGGTTGGTAGGCTTGATTGGATTTTGGTAGGTTTCGGGACGATGAGTAATAGTTATTTGCGTAAAATAGAAAATATGTACGTATCTCCGAATATTTTAGCAACCTTTTTTACACGAATATTTCACCGGTGCGTTCGTATAATGGCGGCCACAAACATGTAAATATACCTGATTCCTAAGTACAAACGTATACCTTACTATTGCCAATATGCAATACGGACATCCATATATCGTGACCTAAGGATGAAAAGATGTCAAGTCCATTTTTAGAAATTTTTCAGGAGAGACGAAAAATCGATGTAGTTTCGTATTACCTGTCATTCTGCATCAAAAATTAAACTTTGAAAAAAAATGGACTTGGCACCTTTTCACCTTTAGGTGGCGATATAATTTATGGCGTACTTGGACCAAAGATTCCAGAAAAGTCTGCCAATGGGCTCGTACTCAACCATATTTCAGGCGGAAGTCTTCCCAATCGAAGTCTGTGTTCGCGAATGTCATCGTAGAAGGCAAATGAGGCCAGAATAAATATTATGTCGGACATTCTGGCAGCGTTAAAGGCCTTAGAGTCTTTTAAAATGGCACCAAGGCTTGTAAACTCTTGAACCACCTGCGAGCCCACAATAGCGTCACGCATGAAGGGTTTGAAGGCAACGAAAGGGCTGACTGTCTCGCAAAGCGTGAAGCCCAAATGCGTTTGCATGGTCCCTAGCATTTCTGTGGTACATCTAAAGGATACACTGCAGACCTACTTAGGAGCTAGCTGGGAATAATCTCAAATTGCTGCCTACTGGCGGAAGTCAAAGGGAATAAGACAATCAAAGATATGCATAACTCTTTCCTGCAGGAACTCCAAAAGACACCTTGAACTAAGAACTCTTGCTGGCAACCTGACAGCACACTGCAAGATAACGTACGGTTTTAATTAAATGGGTCTTTCTGTAGAGACGGACTGTAGGGTGTGTCGGCTGGTGAAAGAAGCTCCAGAGTATATTCTATGTCCCTGTCCACGAAGCATGAATCGTAGATTGATACACCTTGGAGAACGATTGCCTTCTCCATCTAAAATTTGGAATATGGCCTCATCCAAAGTGCTGAGCTTTTTAAATAGCCTAAGGTTGGAGTGATTACAATTTTGATTTAGCACAATATATCTTCTTAGGTCGCAGCGCGGGTATTTTCGACGTAATAATAATAAAATCGTCACTAGACACGAATAAAGAGTTCGGAAAAACTCTTTGGGGAGTTCTGGGGAATACTGTTGCACTCGAAAATATATTTGACCGCGGACATAAGTTTATGGGTCTTTCTTCGCTGCCAAAGAGGTTAACGCGGCTTTATTTGCCGTCACCTATGTTAAGAGTCTTTCTTCGCCGAAATTTTTTTTACGCCTCAACTTTTGAGCTCGCGTCTTTATTCGTATCTAGTGACGATATGTATGTATTAGCGTGGCCGAAAATCCGCTTTTTTAGAAATTTGATTGGTAATAGCAAAAATATGGTTCATAATGCTCTAAAAACAATCTGTGTGAAGATGACAATTTTTGGTCAATATCTAAAGCTCGTCCAAGTCCATCAAAGTTCAAGTGCAAAAAAAATAATATTTCTTCGCTAATTTCGATTCTCTACAAAAAAAGTCCATATACTGAATTATGTAGGACTAACACTTTCGAAAATACTTGCAATTTTAGTAAAAAAATTTATTAATTAATTGTATTTATTAATTTTTCTTTTTTGAGCACATTGATGGACTTGGGCGAGCCTAAGATATTGACCAATAACTGTCATCTTTCACACAGATGGTTTTTAGAGCATTATGAACCATATTTTTGCTATTACCAATCAAAATTCTAAAAAAGCGGATTTTCGGCCCACGCTAGTATGTATGTGTAAAGAGACATATGTACATATGGATAAGTCTGTACAGTAAAATGAATCGTTATACGCAGTTAATTTGTTTTTATTAATCTAGTTGTGTTTTAGTTTTACTAGTTTATGTTAACTATGTTTTTAAAAAAATTGACATTGAAAACAAATATTAAAACTCAAAAAAATGTTTGGTAGGTTTTGGTTGGTTATGGTAGGAAATTTTGGTAGGAAAAAAAATTTGTCTGTGGCAACGCTGCTTGTCGTTATCGGCTAGTTATCGGCAAATCGTAGAAGATGCAGAAACGGATTAGTACGGCACTGTCGTTTGCTAATCGTTGTGCACGCATTGTTTGTTTACATTTTATGGGGGAAAATTAGTGAAAAAGTTAATATTTGCATTAAAATTGCATAAAAATTAGTATTTTTTGCATAAAATCTGTAGAAATTACTAAAAAGTGGATAATTGCATTAAAATTCAATAAATGTGAGCGTTTTAACTAAAAAATATGACGAAATTGTAAAAAGTCTCTGTGTGCATGCACAAAACACATTTCAGGAAAAGAAAAGAAGAGATATTACTGAAAAATGATGTCTAGAATTGTTGCAGCACAGTCTACATTTTAAAAATTGCAGTTTTTTGTAAAAAGTTGGCGAAAATATCAACCAGAAAAACAGAAAACACCTGCTCCAAATGAATTTTTAGACGCCAAATGAATTGAAATATCACGACCGAGTGTGCGAAAGTGTAGTCGTCATGTAATCGTTGCATCATGATTGTGACGATGAAGCAACTATTATTGGACGACCAATGTGCAGAAAGCCTTAGTATTACCGGCGTGAATTTTTCTACGCACGCACGCAAATTTTTCACATTTGAGTAACCGAAATAAATTTGCGTGCGTGATTTTTCAGAGTAGCATATCTGTCAAATTTCAGAAGTGAGCAAAATTTGAGCATAAATGCAGAATAGCTTCGATTCTCTAATTAAAAAAAAAGCATATGGGGATCGATAGAGATCATTGAGGTGAGTATAACGGTATATTTCTTTTCTTGCGGAAACAACAACTACAAAAGTTATTAAGGGTCAAACTTCAAATGAAAAAATTTTTTAAATCAAAATTTCTTAAAAACGAATGTACGGATTTTTTTGGTCTCAATCGATAGGAAATTTAGTTCCCTTTAATTTGATATACATATTTTATATATGCCTTATTTAGTTTTCACAAAAATCGAACTAATGTACGCGGAAAGGAATTCCGCTTCACTTCTGTGGCAACACAGATAGATTCTACTTAGGGAGGATAATATTTATATAAAATTAAAGTGAAAATATTGAAGTTTTTGGCAACGTTTA